ACTCTTGAGTGAGCTCTTCACCAACTGAGCCACTCGGCTGGCCCTGCTAAGACCATCTTAAAACATCCAGGCAGAAACCTGCACCCTGGGAGGAACCACAGGTCCACCGTCACAGACACGTTGGCTATCTAACAAGTGTCTGGTGCTCGTCTCCAGACCCCAGAATTGAGAAATGAACACAGACAGAAGGGCTGTACAGATACTGTACCTCTCCCGGTCTTGGGCACAGTTGTTGACCGGCGGGGCGGTCTGGCCGTCGTACATGCCACTCTGTCGGCGAGCCTGCTCGCTGCGTGCTGGGAGCCTGCCCTCCACCTCAGCCAGCCAGGCCTGGAAACAAAAGCCATGAGACTCCGGCCTGGGCTCAGCGGAGGGCCCCACCATGGAGTCTGAAGGCCCCAAATTCGGGCTGCTCTTGGTCATCAAAGCCGATCCCAGAAAGACCACGTGGGGCGGGGTCCCCAGTGTATTTGCATCTGACCGTATAAATGTACTCAAAGGTGACTGCTTCCATTTCATCCCAAGTTAGAGAAGCGGAAGCAAACGTACTCAGACAGCTGCTCACAATGTGGCAGGAAGGTGTGATTTCGGACAAGCCACTTCTAGTTCCTTCCAGTTCCCAAACTTCTGTGACCATGAGGTCACCCTGGGAAACGTGACAGTACTGCCACATTTGAGCAATGACTCAGTTTGAAAGCCACACTCTCCCCCTTTTTTTTTTTAAAGAGTGTAACTTTTTTTAATAGTGAAGAAACTTGGACTGAGGAAAATGCAAAGTAGATAAAATTATCCTCAGTAACATTTGAACTACTCTATTTAAGTTACACTTGAGTAGTTACTGTTTAAAAGGCAAAAGAATACAAATGATCAGAAAAGGTCATGTCTAGGTTCTAAAAATTAACTTCATGACAGATTCTAGAAACAATAAAAAAGCCATACGCGCCCCCTCATTGATTGAAATACCCTATTCTGATTGGAATGATCAGTTCTTAGTTTATTTTTCCGTGCTCTGCAGTGTTTAAATGTGGGGTGGGGATGGTGGGGGTGGGGGAGCCTTTTGTCCATAGTTTTCAAGTACTCCTGTCTCTCCTTAAAACATTTATTAAGATGTTTTCAGAAACGAGTATTTCCTACTCATTTCTCATTTGTATTTCCAACTGGTATTTGTATTTCCAACTCATATATGTGAAAACTGGTTTTCACATATATAACGTTTTGATAATAGGTCCTCTGAAAGAATGATAACATAATCGAAATAATGTTTTAATTGTGTCTTTTGATTCACTGAGGTGACGGACAATTACACACTCCCAATTACATCCATTATCAATATGAGATGAAGTAGAACAAACTTAAGTGAAACATTTAAATTGAAAAACAACACCGTATACAAATAAATACAACTTTTGGACGGTGTCAGTTTCAAGAGGCACAATTAAAAGAGGACATGATGACAACCAGAGCACTCAGTGGCTTTTCCCTTTTATCATAACGCGAGTGACACCGTGACATTTGCAGCCACATCTCCCTCAGGGACAGACACACTGGCGCTCTGTGACCACATTCACTTCATGACACCTAGTCTCTCTTCTGTGTCTTTTTTTTCCCCCAACAGTAGCTTTTCCATACCTCAAATTTCTGGGCCTCCAGTCGCAGTTTTTCTATATTTTGGCTGACTTCTGTTAATTTGTGATCCAAACTGGCTGGGTCTCCCATTTGAGGGTTCTTTAGGTAAACATCTTTCATTTTTGTTATGGCATCTCTGAAAACAAAGAATGAGTGGGATGCGGGGAAGGTTAATGTCATCAGCCAATCATACTCTCCTACCACCTTGAAAATTACGCAAACGGGAACACGCGAAGCCTGTGCATTGGACGGCAACACCGGGTTCAGGGGTCCCTCTGAAACTTCTCTACAGGAATTCTGCCACCAATGTCTATACAACCCCGAGACAGATACTAAAACTTCAGCCGCCTTTCCTGAATGGTATCTCCCTACTGTCTTCAGCGAGTGAGAACCATGAATCACTCCTGCCCCTCCCTTTGCCCAAACAACAATACAAACAAACAAGACCCAAGTATTTCCATGTGCATTCTTCATGCAAAACCAAACTGCAGCTGGCATCCTGCGTCTTGTGGGCTGCAATATGTTGATCGCATGAAGAAGCAGTTAATTGCTCTGAAAATTTTATTTCACACTATTTCGGCTATTAAGAAACAACCCACAGATGGTATTCAAGACAGGCGGACGACAGAGTCTTAAAGTTACATATCGCAAGATCTGGCACCTTCCCGAAATCCTGCTTTGGAGGCCCCTGCCCAGAGCAGCCTGGGGGAGGAGGGACCCCGAGAGAAGTGACAGGCAGGTTCGGGGGTAGATCTAGGACCTAAGAGCTCTACTAACTGGAACTGGCTCCAAGGGGCTCTCAGTAAGGTTTGAGTTGTAGAAAGTTTAGAGCAAATGACTGCCAACTTTAATGAGCTTTAGCACAAGAAAATCTAAAACAAGTATACAACGCAAGACCAACAAACCAAACCATGTTTTGAGTCACGCGAAATAGTTTAACTGAAAAATACAGAAACAACAGGAAGAGAATCTCCACAAGTCCTCACCACCCCTCTACCCACTTCCTCGCCTCTGAGCCCTCCATCCTGCTGCCTGCTCCTCTCGAGGGCCCCCCACGAAGGTCCCCAGGAACCCCCCACCCTGCACTCCCAGCCCCAGCCCGCTTCCTTTCTTTCCACAGCACTGTACCATTTTGCAACATTATGTACTTTATTATCATGCTTATTGTTTCTTGCCTGTCTCTTCCTACCAGAATGGAAGCTCTCTGAGGAAGCCCGGAGGTTCCAGCTCTTTGTTAACTTGGCCCGTCCTGGGGGGCAGGACCACACCTGGCACACAGGAGACGCTCGATAGACATTTGTGAGATGAATACGTGTTCTTACAACAAACTGTAACATCCTCCACCTTTACAAAACTCCTCTCGCCGTGACACCGCCACCTCCAGCTCCTGCCCTATTTCTCAGCAAACCTTCTCAAGAGTTGTCTAAATTCACTACCTTCACTTTTTCTCCTTCCGTCTCCCCTGATCAAACTCTCCAGAACTTGAACTTGGTTCATCTTGTCAAGGAACCAACTTTTAGATCTGTTGATCCTCTCTGTTGAATGTGTATTTTTTTCTATTTAATTAGCTGATGCTCTTTATTACTTCCTTTCTTCTATTTTCTGTGGTTCAGCTTGCTATTCTTTTTCTAACTTGTTGAGACAGTCTTAGCTCACCGATGTCTAGTGTTCTTTGGTTTTAACGAGTATGGAAAGCTATACATTTCCCTTTACAAACATGGCTTTAGTAACATACGTAGGATGTGTGTTAAGGTTCAGCTCTGTTTCATCTATTTCCAATATCTAGCGTGATTTCTTCTTTATAGTCTATGACCTATTTAGAGCTACATTTCTGAATTTTTGTGATTGGTCCCCAGCTTCACTGCACACTGCAGAGAACATACCTTGAGTGGTACCTACCCTTGCATGTCTGTTCAGGTTTACTTTATAAAAACCAGGATATGCTCTATATTGGGAAATGTTCTGTGTGTGCTTGAAAACACTGTGTATTGTGCAATTATTGGACATGTATGTATTAGGCTAATTTTATGAACTGTAGTATTCAAATATTGTAACCTGACACTTCATCTATTCTATCAATTACTGCGCCAAGTGCATTGAAAATCTCCTACTCTAATGATGTTTTTGTTTTTCTTGTACTTATGTCAAAAGGTTAATAGCATAATCTTTCTGTGTTTTGAGGTTATGTTATTATGATCGTGCAGATTTAAAATTTTATTCTCTTCCTGGTAAACTGGGCCATTTGTTATTTTAATCGTTTATTATTATGAAGTTGATCCTCTTGAGTTGAACAGTTTGGGTTTGTTTTTTTGACTTGGGAGTCAGTCATCACACCAGTTTTCTTTTGGTTGGCAAATGCACAGTATGTATTTTCCATTCTTTTACTTTCAACTTTTCTATATATTATGAATCGATGTATTTTCTGTAGAGAGCATACAGGTGGGTTTCATACGTTGTTTTTTGTTGTTGTTTTTTTGGTCCAGTCTGAGCAGCTCTTTTGATTGGAACATACAGTCTTCTTTACATTTAACATATTGATTCATTTTATTTTACAAACGCTTATGTGCCAGGCATTGTCCCGAGTACTCTACATACACTGGCACGTTTCATCCTGACACTAACAGGCATATTAATTCCCTTTTAAAGATGAGGAAACCGAGGTGCCAAGGGGTTAATTAGCTTGTCCAAAGTCTGCGATAGAAACAGGGAGAATCAGATTTAAACCCAGGGCGTCTGGAGCACTTTGGGTTATAAATCTACCATCCAAATTTGTGCTTTTGACTTGTCCTGCCTGTTCTACGTACTTTTTCTCTCCTTTATTGCCTTTTTGGATTATTTTAAAAAGTTCCCGGAACATGTCATCTATGCTGAAAACCAATGTTTTCTGCACCAAATATAAGTTGCATGAGAACAGAGGTTTTTATATGTTTTGCATCATTGCCTTACCCTCAGTGCCTAGAATATTGCTTGCACTCAGTAAATGCTCAGTGAATAGTCATTAAGTGAACAGGTGAATGTGATCTACCTTATTAGCAGCAAGGGTTGCTACGGGGTTAAAAGGTTAATCGGGTTCGATGGCCATGACCCAAGTGACAGAAAAATTTTTATCCATGATATTGGACAATGAGAGTCTGTCAACAAACAATAAAATATCATTTCAGGTACTTGAGTCCTAACTCCTTACTCCTGTACAAAATATAAGTGCTCACTTATTAAACAGCAAGAGGTTTAATTGGCTTATAAATATTTATAAACCCTTTTTGTATTTGGTCCCACATGTAATAAAAAGCACAAAGATAAAATTTTCATTTCATGGAGTACCTTTCTAATACAAAACTAGAAGCAAGTTAATTATATGTGTTCCAATGTTTTACACACTGTAATGATGTTTATAAAATGACCTGTTTTTTTCAGGAGTTGGCCTAACAGAGGTAAAAGAATAAAAAACGTTTCTTTGGCATGTATGAAATTGTGCTGCCTTACCGTGGTGTTTGTTTTTTGCAAAACCACATTTGAACCCCAACTTCCGTGTACCCAAATTCATGTAGGATGAGTCTGTGGCCTATTTATAGAGCATAAACGCTCCAACAGGTGAATGAGTTATCTAATTCACTCAGTGAGATATGTAAGTTGAGAGATGACCAAGCGGCTTTTCAATCAGGATTATTAGCACGTATCCCTCAAGTGATGTGAAAGTTACATGTTATAAGTGTGGGGAGGGAAGTACAAATGAAGAGAGAGACCAAATCTTTCCTGACTTTTTTTTTTTCTGGCACGTGCACCACCCTACCATCCTTAGGATCAAACTTACAAAGCAGCTCAGAAATCTGGGAGGCCCCACAGTGGGAGCCTCATGCAGACACTTCTCAGAGCAAGCAAACAC